GGAGGGGGAGAGAGGTAAATAGCCTTAAATCGGAAGGGAGCTGCTTCTCTGTGGTCTTCCACAAGAGCTGCCTGGGCTCTGCTGGCTCAGTAATAACTGAGTGACCTTTTCTTTTGCTGTATTATGTCTGGCTGGTAAGGGATTGCATTTTGCAGCTGATAAAGCCCTGACTTCATTCAACTCGGCTCCTCACACGCTGCTTTAGGTAAGTTGTCTTCAGCCAGGACGGAGACAGCCAGCCTTGGACTGCAAGATACTAAAAGGAGGACACCTGTAGCTCGGATACGGTCAACACAATTACTTGGCGGATCCTTGAGGACCTCATTATTTTAAACTTAAGAATAGCGATCTCCCTCCCCACCTCTCCCACCCCCTCTTTATTTTTTTTCCCCAAACAATGCTTCTTTTTGACCTTTTCCAAGGAGAAGAGCTACAAAGCAGCCACTGTGCTTATTGAACTGCCTCCCCTGTATCGCTTAATTGAGAAGGTAAGTGAGGCAACTGTGTACATAAGCTTTGGGTCATTTGTGTATGTGTGTCTGCATCACTCTCCCTTTCCCTCTCTCTGAGTCATAAGCCGGGGCTGCAATACACACACACACATCTCTGCACTGCAACTTTCACTCAAGCTGCAGCTCTGCTGAGACTGTTTTGTTTAAATCATGTGAGGCTTCATTATTTTTATGATGAGACATGAAATACACGCAAGCAGAGGATGCTGAGCGAAACCCATCCAACTGTATGTCTCGAGAAATAGCAAAGTTAACAATGAATTGCAGCACCGCTACCACTCCACACCCCCCCCCCCCGTTATTACTGTTATTATTATTATTGCTTCTTCCAGAGCTTCCCGAAACGTGCTTTTAATTATCAAGGGACTCGGTTAATTTCCCACTCCCCGGCTTTAATCCACAAGCCTCCCCGTACAGCAGTTTAATTTGCAAGTGGTTCGGTGCCGGGTTAACCGTTTGGGCAGAGCGGCGGAGGAGCGCGGCTGCCGTCGAGGTGGGGGGAGCCGGGGGGGGGGGGGCACAGAGCGGGCTTGGGGTAGCAAAAAACTGCCGGGGGGAGCCGGGCTGCGAGGGGCATCCGGGCTCGGGCAGCGTCCCTTGGACCGGTGCGGAGATGGGCAGCCGGGCTGGCGTTATGAAACAGTACTTCTGTCAGCGGGCCTTTCTTTTTTACACCCACCACCCCCCCCCCCCCCCGTCCGCCCCCCTTTCCTCCCTTCATCCCGAGCACTATATGGTATGCTAACGCCGCATGTGACAGTTTAATCAAACCCATTTGTTAAAACAAAGCTAAGAGACCACTGGGATTACAGGTTTACGGGTAGAGTTAGGGGAGCATGTGGCTTTGCCGCTCGCCATCTCCGTGCGCGGCCGGCGGCTCGGGGGATACCCCCACCTTCCCGGTCTCCCCCTCCCCTCCTCCCGCCGTCCGTCCCCCCCCCGCCCCTCGCCTCCCCGGGGCTGCGCCGCGCCGCACTCCCGCTCACTTGACCCGAACCGGGGAAGCACTTGCTACTTTTCCGGGATTCAGTGCTTCAATGAGAAGGAGCTCTCCAGGCGCCCGTAAATCAACTCATGCAGAAAAAGGAGAAAAGTTTTGGTAAGGCGGCGGTCTCCCGGTGTAGCGCGCACCGAGCCGGAGCGGCGCGCTGTGAGTGGGAGGGGTGGTGGTGGGGGGAGCACCGAGAGCACTTCTCTTCCCTCGTCGACCCCCAGTGCGTTGCCCTGGCGAGAGCCTGAGTGTGCTCTAAAGAGCCCCAAAATGGGGCTTTGTGGGACCGTTGCTCAAACCCGCTTGTTTTGCGGGGTGCACCGAATGCCGCCGCACGCTTTCCCCGGCGTCTCCCTTTCCTCTCTCCTTTCCCCATCGCCCCGTCCCCGCCGTGCTCGGAAAGGAATTAGCACAAAAGGGTTGAGCGTCCAACTCCGAAAGGGATTCTTTGTTGGAGAGTGTATGTTTCTTATTTATTTTTTTATTTTGCATGTGAGCTGCATCAAAATTGAACTCAGTCTTGCAAATCTCTTGTTGGCCTTTGCCAAGCACTAGCACTTTGCTGCCATGGTAACTGTAATTAAACTGATAAGAGTGGAAAAATGTCAGTATCTCTGAGCCTTGCAGCTGCATTGGAGAAAAGGGAATCAAATTGGTTCCCAGCACCGCTGCTCTAAAAACGTGTGTGTGTGTGTGTGTGTGTGTGTGAAGAGAGCTGGAGGGAGAGATGTGGGGGGGACACGACAGCGGTAGGGACATAGCTAAGCACCCCCTGTCCCTGAGATCTGGGTACATCTATTTGCTGCTTTGTCCCTTAGGGGGCTACAGCCTGCAGGGATGCTCTGGGCCACTGAACAGAAAGAAACAAGCTTTTAGGCCCAATCTAGCTTTCAAAAAGAAATCTTTTCTTTGGTGTCTCTTGGCAATCGACTAGCCATGTTGGCCAAATTCTTTTAAGCTGTATCACTGCTCCCAGCTGTGGGACTGCATTCCCATTTTTAGTTTTTACCTAACCTCTTCTCTTCCACCACCCCTTCCCAGCTCACCTCTCTTACGAAAAAAAAAAAAAAATACCAAAATAATGAAGAAAAAAATCAGATTCCTCTGCAGAAGAACGGGCCAGAGGTGAAGTTTAGTTATATAGCATGGAAAATTAACTCAAAAGTCTGGAGAAGAGACTACATCCAGAGTACTAAAATCCTTACTTCTATATTTCTTTAAAAACCCCTGAGTGTTATGGAGTTGCGGTTACTTTGTTGTGTTAACTACAGAAGCTGAGACTGTGCGGATGAATTGCACAGAACAAGAGAGCATAATGGAGGCAATCAACCGTTAGGCTGGTTCACAATGCAATCCAGGCAATTAAAAGCTCACCAGAGTTTAAATGAAATGGTTCTACTTATTTCTGTGCACCACACTGCACAGGCTATTATTTATGTCTCTTTTTTTAATTATGATTTCCCTTAAACTGTCAAATAACACAGAATAGCAGGGTCTCGGAGGCAGTAAGAATTTTCCACAGAACAATTTACATGCCAGTCTAAAACTAGTTACGACTCCTGATGTGCTACATGCGAGTTCTGAAATGTTTCTTTGCTTTTGAAACCTTAACTACTTTTTTCTCTTTAAATCTCTGTGTGTATTATCCTGAATTACTGGACCTCTGAATGTTTTTAGGATGAAGCTACAAAGTGGGAAAGCATCGTAAAAGTATTCTTTTTATCTTCTACTAGATCTCTAACTCTCATGTTGACTCTATATTTTCAGTATGCTGTCTTTTGAAGAGCAGTGCACTGATACTTAAGTTGCTCCAAACTGATTCCAGTAGAGGCAATGCATACTACTGTATGTACTATAGGTATGCTGAACATACTACTGACCTTGTGTGTGTGCCTCTGCAAAGGAGAATGGTCTTTAAAAGTTTTCAAGTGATCCAGCATGTAATAATATCTACCTCTTCCTCCTTTAACATGCCTTTTAAAGACTGTCTGTACCACAAACCAGAAACTGAGTTCTGTGGGTTTTGTGTGTGCTGCACTCAGCATCATCAGGAGCCAATTTTGCTCCTGATGCCACTAAATCACTAACAAAATACAGTTCATTATGTCAAATATTCATTCCCTTTGATTTTTGAGAAGGGTGATGATTGGAGCGAGATGGGTTTTTGTTTCTCTGCCTTCTTCCAGGAGCCTAATTTAGCTTTTTCCAGAAATCTTCCTCTTTATCCAGAAATCATAGTTACAAATCAGTTGATAGTGTTTCATCACACAATAATAACAATAACCAGGGATGGGAGTCAGTGGCATTGAACTTATCTGTGGAGACTGAGGGAAATTCAAAAACCTGCAAAGCAGATTATTGAGTTCTCCCTTCAAAAATCCTAAGGGTGGTGGATGGTGATGAAGAAGTCTGATTCCTGCACAGCTCTGCAGTTTATGTGTAGTATCTTGGGGACTGGGATGGAGGGAAGGGTAGAGAAAGCCCTTGAAAGCATATTGGGGTGAAATAAAAAGGGCTTGTTTGACAGTGACAGACTAGGCACTGAAATCTCTCTGTTTTAAGAACAGATATGCTCCGTGATGCAGAGCATGGATAGTACTCTGCATGACTGAAGGGAAAACTGGCTTTGATTTTATTTATTTATTTAACAGCCTGGTTGTAGCACTTGTTGTATGGGATTTTTTTTTTTGGAAGTGCTCTATAAGCTCTGCTTTCCCAAGGGAGAGGAGGACAGCCAGGCAGCAGTGCTGTGTGCCGCTACCTGTTATTTCAGCAGCGAGGAGTTTGGATGGTTTTGTAGGTGCTGTCAGGCTCTGAAGGGGTCCTTTCTGCATCCTAAGAAATAAATGGGTACCTAAACTGCAGCCTGTGAAAAGCCGGCTGACAGCAAGGTGCCGGTATTCTTATTGCCAAATTGAGAACTAAAAAGACACAAGCACATATCTGAAAAGTGTAACTGCATCGGCGATATAATGGGAATGTTAAAGGGGAGGGAGATGATCGGTGAGGTGATCTGCATTAAGGTGACTCATACGATACAGGAGAAAGTAACAAAATGTTCTGTTTTCAAAATTAAGTTTCTTAATCCAGGGCATGTAAAGAAAAGGGCATGTGCAAAGAATTTGGAGATACGTAAAACACTTTTTAGAGCGCTGTTTTGTGCTTTGTTTTTGTTTAGAACCTTTCTACTCTTCAAAAAAAGAGTAACTTTTATTTTATAAAGAAGCAGTAGTTTGGGGATTCAATTTTTTTTTTTTTTTAAATCATCATTAAAATAGAAGCAGCTTCATTGCAAGTAAAGTGCAAAAATATCAGATCTATCGGAGGAAAAAAGCATTCATTTCCTCCAAAAGCTGCTGCAGATTGAATCCCTAATCTGAAGATGCTGCCAGGGGAATGTCAGCACCACCTTCTCTCTCAGCCTCAGGAAAATAGATGCGCGGGGTTGCTAACACGACTTCTGTGGGGTGCCTGCCCCTTTTCACTTGCCTCTACAAGAAGATTTGGGCTAACCAGCATGAATGACAGTGCTCTGTCTACTTTCCTCATCAGTAGAAAATGTCTCAAAAGTTGTGCTGGGGTATGTGCAAGACTGTGCAATCTGCAGTTTTATTTGTAATACAGTAACCTCCTGTTTGCAGCATATACCTCAGGAATTATCAGCCTTGATTATTGCAATTTGTTCAGATGCTCTCTTGTTTAGCCGTGTTTCTGCGGCATCTTGTTCCTTTCATATGGCGTAGGACAGTAGATATGCCTGGATCAGAGGCTGTCAGCCTTCACTCTCTAACCTGCTTCCTTATCAGGCGACAAAATTTTTACATTAAGATTTTTTCTTTAAAGCCTTTAACTGTGTTAGCTCCTACTTTATCCTGGTTTCCCTCAAGCTAAAGATTAAAGTCCTAGAACACCCTTCTTGCTTCTGAACTTTTTTACTGAGTTCCCAGAAGCTGATAGAAATTGTGGCCAGTGTTAGGCATCTGTCCTCTATGTGACAAAAAAGAGGGGCTGGGGATAAGTTTGTTGTTGGCATTTAGCAGATATTTATACTCTGCCATGGTACTCAACTTTACAGTTTAAGGCTTTTTGACCTAGCAAAGCTGATTAGAGTTCCAGCAAGACTTTCTTTTACAGTCTGGTGTAGGTTCTTTTCCAAAAATCTCTCGTATTTTCACTGCTTTTAGAATTTATTCATAGCAGTGTTATTTTGCTGCTTCATTTATGTACCCTGGATTTAGAGGAGATAGTTGGCAACTGAAAATACTGTAAAGGCTCAGCCTTTGTCTCACGGTGCTTGCTCAAGATGAGAAGTGTGTTTTCTTTCCCAGATCTGCCACACACTGCAGAACCCTATGCAGGTCGGTAGACATCATCCTCCCTCCCGTGAGCGACAAGCACGTCTTGAGTCTGTACGTGGTGTAGTAGCTATGAGAGTAGCATTGACTGGGGAGTAACAGGAAGGAGCAGAGCCATTTTTTATACTTATGGGTGGAAAAATACAGATCTTACACTTTTGTTACGAGTTTTCAATGCTGTGCACCAGTACTGCTGTGGCACCTCAAGGTGCCCACTAGGAGAACTGTCGGCATATAACTGAACAGCTAATTTAGCAGGTAAATATATCACTCCAAAATGTTCAATAGAGAGCATATTACTAAGCGGGGAGCAAGGCTTTTGTACTTACATGTCACAATAAGAATTACTATTTCTAATTCAGTGATCAGCTTCTCAGGTGAAATTTGGGAGTTCAGCTTGGTAATCCTGGAAAGTCACTTCACTGGCTCTATGGTTGCTGTGGTCCACATAAATTCCATGTATTCCAGGTACACGTATTCATAGAGATCTCTGGGACGCCTCAGCCAGCATAGCATTTAACCTCTTGTCTCTGTAGTGCTGATATCCATAAAGACACACTGTACTATTGCCTCAAAGATTGCACTAATTTTTGTGTTTTCCTTGTACAGGCTGTTTTAAGAAACAAACAAACAAAAACCCAAAACCAAACCCCAACTTGTTCTAGCTTCCTGAGCCTGCCTGTCTATAAGGGTGTATTATAGCACCAACCAATACCTGTTGATAGAAGCTGGGACTGTAAAGTATTCTTACCAGTAGGTGTTGGAGCATTCTTGATGAGCTCTTGAATTTGCTTTTCTTTGTTGCAAGACTATTTGACCTTTCGCAGTTTCTGGGTAATAACAGGGTGCTGTACCCTGAATTTTGGGGTAGGATTTGCTTGTTGGCGACAGCATTTGTTGCCCAGTCTTGACAAATCTCATTGTAATTTCTAAATGCACTCTAATAAGTAGCATTTTTTTTAAAGTTATGTTTCTGATTGTCTTTCAGACAGTGAGCTAGTCTAACAGTGTGTCAGTTCTCTCTTCCTCTCTAGTGCCTGTTTGATGTCCAGCAAAGCATCCACAGAGCTGTGATTTTGTTTATTCTAAGGAATGACTTTCAGAGAATTGGTCTGAGTGTAATGGGATGGCAGTTCGTGGGATTAACCTAGAGAGACCAGTCTGTAAGCACTTTGGGGCAGTGACCTTCTCTCCCCATTTACTGTAAAACTGAGGGCAATTGATTTTTGTATGGATCTCTCGAAGCTGGCTGCAGTGCTCTGTGTACCAACTCTCAACTGTGTTCCACTTTTACCAGTTCCCTCCCTTTAACTGTGGTTCAGACATTTGAATTGGTTTTTAAATGCTCTCTGCTATTACTTCTAAAGGTGTATATATATGCACTTAATGGACACTACTGTACTCCTTGTCCTGAACTAGCTGTTGGCTAAAATGGAGATTGGAAAGTGGGGCAGAGGTTTTTATATTTTGTTGATACGGAGGGAGCTGGAGGCTTGGGGTGGTGTTTTTGTTTGTTTGTCTCTCGTTTTGTGTTTCCTTCTTTGACAAATTGGCGACTCTCTGACCTTTTAGATCTTTCAGAAGGTCCTTACACTGCAGGTTGTAACTGGAGATGCTGATACTGAAGTCTCTGGAGGTCTGATGGCTTCATTCATGAGTCATAAGCAGAACTGAAATCTTAAAAAACTAAATGTTCCCCCTACCAACACCAAAATGTCTGTGTCAAACCTCCCATGAAACTGCGGCCCTGAGCCTCTAACAGCTTCAGTTTTCTCTTTTTTAGAATCTGGAGTGCTTTCATATTTTATAAAGATAGTGCAAATAGGTCCAAATATGTAGATTTCATTATGTTTGCCACCATAGATATGCTGTTTATTTAAAATTTTGGTTGCTAAATATTGTGTACTTCGGGTGAAAGTGGATGACTTTTCAACTGAACTGTTTTTATTTCTTATTTTAAATTTTTAATCCTGTTTCTTTTCAGCAAAGAGACCAGCCAAATAAAGTGTTAAAGAGAAGCTGTGGAACTTAGAGCAGTGGAAGTTTCTGCTCTCAAATTTATCTTAGCATTGTTTTCAGTTTGCTGTGGACTATCTGAGTTATTGCATCCAATCTACACCACTGCTTTTTTAACAAACTGGCGGGGGGAGGAAGAAAAGCGTGAGACTTGTACTCAAGAGAATATCTATTTTCACTCTTCTCTTCTCTTGTTGTATTTCAGGTATACAAATGCTCTCAGTCCAGCCAGACACCAAGCCGAAAGGTTGTGCTGGCTGCAACCGTAAGATTAAAGACCGGTATCTTCTAAAGGCCCTGGACAAATATTGGCATGAAGACTGCCTGAAATGTGCCTGCTGTGACTGTCGCCTGGGGGAGGTGGGCTCTACCTTGTACACCAAAGCCAACCTTATCCTTTGTCGCAGAGACTATCTGAGGTAGGCCTTCTTATATTCACTGACAGACTTGGAAAATCTGCTCAGTCCTCGCTGTGTAGTTGCTATGGCATAAGCAGTACTTGAGGGCTGCAAGGCTGAGTATATATGGAGGATGAGAAAGCAAATAGTAAGGTACAGAGGTAAAACTAAAATCTGAATCAAAAAGAGCAAATAACCAGGTCATGAAGGTGGTTGCCAGTTTTCTGGTGCTAATACTGGGGTTCTGTGCTCAGAGGAGGGAGAAAGTAAACCCTGCCTGTGCTTTCCACAGCACCATGCTCCTAGGAGCTGTTGGTCTGCTCCTCCTCCAAGCAGCACAGCGGTAGCCAGGTACAGCAGCCTGAAACTGCTCGCATGGTTTTTGCTAGCTTCAGTGCAGGGTTTGGACTCTGTAAGTAAGGGGTGCTTTCATTTGTCTTCACTTAACCCACTTTCATCCTTTTAGTTTGCCAAGGGATTTAATTTGTGGCACTAGAAGCCTTTATGAATGTTGCCATTTAGCAGTTAGAAGCTGGACCAAGATGACCAGCTGTCTTCCCACTGCTAAAATAACCATTTAGCTAGTAGGATCAAATCCATTTTGGTCCTGATTTAACTCAGTGACCTGAGTGGAACACTGAATAACCTGTTGCCACTACTCAGACAGCAAATAGTCATCTAATTTTTCTACGTTCTTTGTTGCTTGGGAATCTACATTCGCAAAGGCATTTGAGGTGTAACTTGTAGCAACGTGGTGATGAGCAGTACAAGGCAAGTTTATCTGCAGATTATATAAATAAATAGGGCTACTTTGCAGCAACTAAGTTTAATCAGGAACTTCAATCTCCCTCAGATCTCAATAGTAAACAGAGAGAAAAAGGTTCTCTGGGGTGATTCAGAGCACCTATTTCCTATAGTAGCACCTTTCATCCGTTCCCTGTAGAGAGGGCCTAGTGAGACTAGCTGCTCCAGGCTAACATGAACTTCTGGGAATATTTCCTCTGCCCCCATAGTGATGCCTTTTCCTTTTAAAGGGACATTGAAGGCAGTAATACATTGGGGAAAAATTAAAATTCTCTTTGAATGTGTTAACTTACAAGATCAGTTTAAGCACAGGTACCAAATAAGAGATTCCCACACACCAGTCAGTTTCCCATATTGTACAGCATGGGTAGGTCAGAACAGGAATCAAAACTAAACCATTAACAACTATTGCTACTCTGGCTCTCGATGTTACAGCCTGTTTTTTCTCGAGTGGAACAAAAATCTTCACAAATGCATTTGTTCAGCTGAGGCTGCATGGCAGATAAGGTTCTCCAGACGTGGGCTTGGACTACTCGGTGGTGAAGTGCTCAGCTACCCATTAAAACTCTGAAATGAATGTAAGGTAGAGTGCTGGGAATTTAGCATAGAGGTCTGCATCTTAAAGCCATTGTGTTAAATCTGCCAAAGAAGTAGGTAACAAAACCTTACTTTTCAAAGATTGGCAGGGAACTGTTTGAATTGAAGGGAATTGTTGTACATGAACCTAACTTTTGTGAATGTAACTTTTGATCTTAAAGTGTGTGTCTGTAGAGAGGGGTGAGAACAGCTTCTGGGGGGGAAGGTAACATCCTAATTTTCAAAACCCATTTTAGGGATCTTTCTACAATAAGTGCATGCAGGAGAGAAAAAACTCCGCTATGACTGTTTGATCTGAGTTCCAAATTTACTGGAGACTTTGAACTTGCCAGATCTCCTTAGTGTTAGTGCAGCAGATCCCATGTTTTAAAATCAAACGTTTAAAATCAAAACCAAAAGTTATCTAGTAGTTGAGATATGAGCAAAGCATATTTCCCCAGCATGGATGTGTGCACATGCTTACACGCACAGTGTTGCTCTCTGGTCTTTGAAGGTGTAACAGGAGTAAATATTTTGCTAACAGATTGTTAAAATCCATATTAAGTGATTCAGAGAAAGGAGAGTGTATTTTCTGTCTGTCATGAACACACACATTCAAAACTGGCATTTCAGATGTTTGTTCATACCCAGTAACTATTTCTGCTCCAGTGAAACCAGCATACACAAAAAATGATATAATCAGTTTTAAATCTGATTTTTTTTATTTTTTTTTTGGTCTCTGGGTTTATCAAATCTTAATGAAGTTATCTTGTCATGAACCTTTTTTTAGCGAGACTTGTGAGTGCATAGATTTAAACTTGGTATTTACACTAAATTTCAAACTGATGCACTTAAGGTAATTGCAGACAGTCATTTGCCTCATTGCGTCTTATCTACTTAGCTATGCAGTGAACCTATAAAAATGATCTTTTTAATGCTAATGTAGAAAATAGTTAAATGTTCTCTAGCTTTGTAGTCAAATAAGCTTTCATATTTAGCAACCCACTTGAAATGAATTTAAAGAACAAATTACTTTGTACTAATGATCAGATTAGGGTTCAGTTACAGTTTCAAACTATCCTCTTATTTATTTTTCTTTTTCTTTTCAGCCATAAAAGGAATCTTTGCTACATATGAAAATGTTCTAGCTCCCTATTAATTTATGTGGTGCCCTCTAGAGGATATGTGGCTTGAACGATACTATAAAGAGTAAAATTGCTTATTAACTTGTCTTTCTGTGTTCATTATGTCTTTCAATAAGACAACCATTGTACAGATGCTATAAGCAATAACATACCCAGTTTGGGTGCTTTAGCATTCATGGTTAAATTCACAAACTGTGATTGTGTCTTTGGCTATCTGCAAAGATACTTCCCAGTATCTCTCATTTAGAGATGCCTGCTGAAAAACTAAACTCACTCTGCACGAACTTCTGCATTTGAGCACTGAGGTATCCACTTTATGCTTTTCATAAATACTCTAAATCTTCAGAACTTCAAAACTTGCTTTGCTTTAGCTCTCTGCTTTGGTAAAATTAGTTAATTTTATTGTATTAAAACCTTTTTTTTTTCTGGATTGGGGGATGTTGAGGGAATGAAAGAAATCTTTAATGAGGTAAGGAGCTTGGGAGGTGCTTTGGGTGTGAGAGGCTTTACTCTGGAAACTGATTCATATAAGTCACTCCAATGGTTTCAGAGGTGGTGTATGACACCAAAGGTATCAGGGTGGCCATAGCAGGAATGAACTCTGTTTTGTTAACAAGGATGAGAACTGACTTGAGTAAGGAAAGCACTCAGTGTTAGAAATAACACACTCGGTGGAAATGATATGCAGAGTATAATTCCCCTGCAGGCTTCTGTCGCCTGCTTATACACTCCTGGGTTAGGAAGTGAAGACTTAATTTAAGGAACTTAGGTTTACACCAGTATTTCAAGTCCATTTACAGTAAGTGAAATATGCAAGAATTTTTTTTTTCCCCCCTTTTCCCTCCAGAGCTGTATGGTGACATCTTAATGTATCAGCCTATCCTGCTCTGTCCGCTCTTCTGACTGGCAGCATGTCCATTTACAAGCACAATATTCCCTTTGAAATCTGTCATTACTGCCATTAATGACCAGTCATTATGTTAACAGCCCTTGGGCTGTTAACCTGTCAAACTGGTTGTTAACTGGAATGTTATTACTTATTTAAACTGCAGGTATGAGTTGTGTGAAATGTGCTTTGGTTGTGTGTTCTGGGTTGCTTCTGCTCAAAACAATAGGGAAACAGTGGAACATTTGCCTTTGGGGTGCCAAGGGATTTGCTTTCTATTCCATCTGCTCATTTGATTTCTGCATGTTTCTGAGGTCCTCCTACCCCTGGGCAGCCTCCTGATTTCAGGTGCAACTATGTGCAATCCTGTCTCTTAGCCTTGCGTGCAAATGGGCAGCTGCGGATATTTCCAGATGCACAGTAATGCCTGCCGCACATTTGAGATTCATATCTGGCCCCTAAAAGTGTAAAATGAAAGACCGACAATTACATGTAACTCAGTTGTATTAAATAATGAGCTTCCTCGGATGCAGCAAAAATATGAAAGTACAGCTGTGCTAAGCTAGTAGCAATGTAGGTCAATCACCCTTTTCACTTAGGTTTTTAACTACGCAAACCCTGCTGAGCGACCAATGACTACAAAGTGCTGTTTCATTCCTATTTAATTTTGGCAGCATTTTACTGAAGAGCAGGCATTCATGCAGCTAAATTATCTTCACCGTTTCTGGTTTTAACTCCAGCTCCATGACACTAAATGTTGGAGTGCATATCTCTTAGTAAACACAAAAAATATGGTTTCTGATTTATTTTTTTTTTTCCTCAAACCCATCTCTTAACATAGAAATAGAATTAGAACTTTTATTACTTTTTGCATAATTTTCCTAACCAGGCAAACAGATCATAGGAAAAGGATTAACCAAACTAATATATTGGGGTGGAATTTTTTGCCCTGAAACACTATCAGAGGTGGAAAGTGTGGTGACACAGAAGTCCACCCCCACCTCCACTGCCCAACCTGGTTATTGATTTTGCTTATAAATGTACTGCAGACTTTAAGAGTACCACTGAACAGCTGTGAAAATGGGTAGATCACTATTCCTGAAGACGGGGGCAGATCTTTTTGGGTTTTTTTCTTCCCATTTGCTGGTTTGAAGACCTGAGACAGGCCACATATATTGAATGAGACCTTGTAAATAATGAGATGTGACTACAGAAAGTAAAGTGTTCACCCATAAGTATCTTAACGATGCTATCTCTGTAAAATATTTAGTTTGTGAAAGGGTGCAGAATGAAAAGAGTAGAGTTTAGAGAGCTGCTTTTTTCCTGTACAACTGCTCACACTCTAAAAGCAATTCTTATTTAAAAATTACTACATAGGAGTACTTAGACTTAAAACATCTTGTAGCCTGGTACCGATTAGGAGATTCTATTTCTCGGGTGGTAAAAAATGCACTTTAGGTATTGCAAACACAAAGATACAAGCTCTCATCAATGCATTTATTGCATTGACACCTTACAACCCACTACCCGTTATAAGGTTATTTCAAAATGACACATCTGCATACTTCTTGCCCAGCTTGGTTAAATAAGGGTGGATCTTTAAAGATTTA